TCCGTACAGTTTTGCTAAGCTTTACTTCCAAATACACCATTTACTAAAAACCTTTATTTTAAATATATATGCCGCCGTATACATAAATATATGCTTTCAATAATCTTTTTGCGTTTGTTTTGCTTATTTTCCTTCTTTGTCGTCCAGCGAAAATTTTTTTATTCCAAAAGTGAAGGTGGTCACCCCGTACCAGCTCAAAAGTGAAGGTAGGGGGAGACTTGGCTCCCACTATCACACCTCTGGGCTTAAGTAATCATTCGACAGGGCAAAGCAAGCTTTACAAGATGGCGTCAAAAGTCTGCCCAAATCGTATTCCATGTGAAGTTTTGAGATGAAATCTAATAATAGTCGAAAATGAACTTTCCCTTCAAAATCGTATCTCCGCCCAAAATATTTTGAAATTTTCCCATTTGTTCTAGCGTATGCTTTACATATCGCCCATTGCTATTTCCGTATTTTTATGGGTAGAAAAAGAGAAAAAATGAATGGGGTAAAGTGGCAAACTACGTTCCTAAACGTCCTAAGCTTCTCCCACGCACCTGATCATATAGCTCATACATACAGAAGTACGATCATGTATTTGTAAACTTTGAAGAGGCCCCAATTCTCGAGAAATGCTGATGTTTAGGGTAAGAACGATAAAAATTATAGTACATCCCAATACTTCCTCGAAAAAACATGATCAGCATATATTAGGTTGGTGCAAAGGTTCGTTCGCGCCATATTCAAAAATTCATAACTCCTTGAATTCTCAACGAATTTGTACGCTCAAAATTTCGCTCAAGGAAGAACTCATACTCTTTGCACCTGTTCCTGAGCTGTTCGTTAAAGTGCACAAATGAAGGAGATAGAAGCTCAAAACCAAAATCACTCAAAATTTAAATTTTTTGTGTAGGTCATAAAAAATCGGAAACTTGCTACAAAAATCGGAGCAGTCAGTATTGTAGGCTATTTCACAAGCTCTTTCCAAAAGTGCAGTTTGTGCCGATTAAGCGTCTTTATGAAAAGTTATGATTTTCGAGCAAGCAATACAAAAGGGCGAATTTGATTTATTTTAGCACTTTTCAGGAAATTCATAACTTTTCACAGAGACGCTCAATCGGCACAAACTTTGCACTGTTGGAAAGATCTTGTGAAAGAGCCTACAATACTGACTGCTCCGAATTTTATCGCAAGTTTCCGACTTTTTATGACCCTACACGAAAAATTCAAATTTTGAGTGATTTTGGTTTTGAGCTTCTATCTCCTTCATTTGTACACTTTAGCGAACAGCTCAGGTACATTTGCAAAGATCATGAGTTCCTCTCTTAAGCAAAATTTTGAGCGTACAAATTTGTTTAGAATTTAAGGAGTTGATTTTTTGAAAATGGTGCGAACGAACTTTCGGACCAACCTAATATTTACCACATCAAAAATTTATCATCAGGCATTCGTATGTGCTATGCTGTATTTTTTCGTCAGCTAAAGATGTTTTTACCGAAGCAATGCTGTGCTGTTCTTACACTCACATATAAGTGTATACTAGAAGCCCTTTAAGTACTACCGTCGATTTTTCCCCTTTTATAAGCTCTAGTTTCTGCGAAATATCGAACTTAGCTTTCCTTACTCAAGTTTTTCACGTTCAACTCAGCACTTTTCGAAAACCAAAGCTTGTGGAGAGCTGAAAATTTACGGTTGTACATCTAAGGGCTTGTATTAGGTTGTCAAAAAAAATAATGTCGTTTTTATTTGCTTGCTTTGACAAAGCAACCAGACTCAACCCAATGAAGGATAATGGGTATTTTTCGATAGAGCAAAGCAAGCTCTACAAGATGGCATTCATGGTCTTGCGCCAAGCTCGATCCACGGAATGTTCGAACTCAAAATCTGAAGATATCCAAATGCCGAAAAAATCGAAAAAATCAGTTCCTCGTCCAAAACATTTCTACGGACCTCCCACTCGCACACGTCAAACACGCTCCAGGGTGGCTGCGTATGCCGACGATGTGAAAGTTCACATCGCGTATGACCAAAGCGATAGAGCAGACTCTCACAGAACGCTCAATAAGTCTCTACCTCAAATGATTGCATGGGCTGAGAAATGGAATATCAAGGTAAACCATTCCATAAGCTGCACTACTCTCATTGAAAAAACTGCTTGCACCCTTTTTCAAAACCACTGTGAATTGGAAAGTAAACTCCTTTTGAAAAAACTTGGGAGTATTTAATGATTCAAACCTGAGCTACTCTTATCACATGGGCGAGATTGTCTCTCGGGCAAGCCATATATTATATGCGCTGATGCGCACTATCCACTCCTGCGACTCAAGCATTTTTCAAAAAATTTAGAAGCTTATGTAACTCCAATGCTGGAATATTGCAGCTACTTTTGGAATCCTGATGAAAAGAAGATATTGAGATGATTGAAAAAGTGCAGAAGTTAACTACTAAAATTGTCTACTATAGAGCTTTTCCTAACCCTAGTCATGTTATCCCTTGCGCCTCCTAACTACAGTGCCAAGTTACGCAAACTAGGGCTTTAAAAGCCTTTTTTTATAAAAGGACATTGGCAGTCTTACTAATGGCTTTCAAGATACTTCGGGGGGAGGTAAGTTTGAAGCCAGGTAAACAGTGGACATTTCGTCCTATCACTGAGCGAAGAGCTGGCTTCAATAGCAGGGTTTCCAGATTCAGGAGGTGTCGCGCATCAGCTCAGCACAACAAATTTTTCCTGGCGTGCTGCTGCAATGCTTAACGAATTACCCCCTTCCTTTTGTCTCTAGAGTCTTTTGCGAAGTTGAAAGCAAAAGTTAAACATATATCCTCTAGGGTCTGAGACTGATGACGTAATGTGATTTCTGTTACCTACGACTGATTCGCATAGTTGCTTGCATTCTTAAGTGTTTTAGAAACTAAAGAGATACTTTAGACTGGACCCGGCACGAGGTGGGCAAATGGGGTTTTCCGAAACGAATTCTTCTTTGATCTCAAAATTTTTTATGAATACCCCTTTGAGCTTAAAAACGATGCTTTGTGCTTCTGCAACGAGAGCACCATCCACACTTTACCTAATTTCCTCACCTTTATCAAGTCAGCAAACAGGAAGAAGAATAAGCAAGAAAATGATGAAGGAATGAAGAAATATCAAAGTAACGCAGTTATATTACTGAGAGATGCCGTTTCTGCGTATCGACTGACTGAAGCGCGCTGTCCTCCTTAGAAAGGTGGGCTGCTGGTCAATTTTGGGCTCTAACAGAAACAAGAGGAGGAGTTCAAAACCAAAATGTTACTGTATACTAAGCTTTAGGTGTGGAGCAGATTTATGTAAGAGTTTTGAAAAAATTATGTGAACTGTAGTTTTGCCTACCTCAAGTGGGGCATTAGGTGGGCAGTTGCCCACCTGATTTGGAAAATAGCCGCTCTTCATTCACACGAGTTTTTCATAATTTTTCATACATTATTCCTTTATCGTACTGCGCGTATACACACCAAGTCTCGCGCAATTTTTATTTTTTCTGCGTCGCAAACGAGCCATTTCTCCATTTTCTTGATAGTGGGGAATTTTTAGAAAAAAGCTTGCCACAACCTTCAGTCACAAAATTTTTCAATGAGACCGTAAACCAATCTAGCCTCAGACGCCCTCAAACTTACATTACACATAGGGCGGTAGCATTCTCCAATGCTGAAGATATGTCTAATTTTTAAGCCGGTAAAGTCTGCTTCTGTGGCTTAAAGGCAGTGGCTCGGCAAATCTCAACTAAGTCAAATGATCGCTTACCTGAGGTTATTCAATACGCTGATTTCGAAAATCCACTTCTGCGAGCTTGAAAACGGCGAAAACGAGCGCTTTGCGATGCCCGTCCCTTCGGAATTAGACGAGTGGAGCAAGGCTGATGATGCTGGATCGTTGCGAGACCCAACGATTAAAGCATTGCGGCGGGCAGCCTCCAATGGTGAGGAGGAAATTGCCAACTCGTCCGGAAGCGGGTAAGATTGACCTGCGCGTGTAGGTTTGGCAATTATCTCGGCGGGAAAGCATGCTGTGCAACCTGGATTGCACTGTTTTCATACTTGGGCGATATTGAACCTAATGCGTTAAAGTTCTAAGTTGTTGAATTTTGCCGATCCACTGCCTTTAAGCGGATCTTCACTTGCGGTTATTCTCGTTTTTTGCAGCGGTTGCACTTGACATGAGGGGTTGAGTATGATAGGTCATTTTCTTTTCATTCGATCGAGGTTTCTGTTTGTTCTTCCTTATAGCTAGGTTGGTGCACCTTGTGTGCTTACAATCAAACACCAGTGCACCAACGAGCTCTTAGAATAACACCAAAGTTTGGATGCCATGGTATTCAGCGTGGCATGACTGCTCGACGTAAGAGTACGAGTGACAGATGGATAGACTAGCAAACAAGAGAGTGTGCAGCAAACAACCTGAAGAAAAGAAGTTCTTGTTGAAGCGGACGTAAAAGTAAAGCCGAAATATTTATTGGAGCAAGGCACACGATATGATCATTCACGTCAACCACTCATCCACTCTCTCAACTTTATTTACTTTGAGAGAGAAACGGGACATTAATGATCTATAACGTTATCATTTAGCGAAGTGCATGTAATGTTTGTGCCTAAGATGCAAAATTTTTAGAATGATAGTATTGCGTGCGTTAGGCTCCTGCGGGCTACATAAAGCTCCTTGTTTTTGATTCAGAAAAAAGCAAGCGATCATAAGTTAGAGCACTGCCAAAAATAACAAGTAATAATACTATGTGACTGCGTGCGTCTTTGGTAATGTATATGTCATATGAGGCAAGGCTAGTTTCAGATGCGCCTTCATCTACTCCCTTGGAGCATTTTGCAGGTCTAGGAAATTTGAAGCCCAACACTAAAACTTTGTAACTCTAGGTCCGTACTGATGTTGCTCTGTAAAAAGCGTTCAAAACTGACATAAATTACAAGCTGAAAACGATAAAGATCAAGATGCCTGAAAGAGGGCTTAACAACAAATCAGGTGAAAAAAAACGCACCGTTAGTCCCTTTCTAAAATTCTTCTCTCCTATCACTGTACGGAGCATTGCGATAATTGCAGCGCCCCTTTTGTAGCTGATTACGTCAAAAGAAGAGAGGATCTCGCGGAACTTGTGTATTATGGATGACATAGGTCGACCAGTAACTCTTGCGTCCACGACCAAGGCATTTTCAGTTCCCATAACAAGTTCATCCTTGTTCTGAAAAGTGTATCAATAAGATTTTGCAGCATCAAACGCTGCCACATAGCATAATCCATAGCACAATGATTGCTAATCAATCTCAAGTTCCACAGCTCTGGGGTTATCTTCTCTTATGTTTCTTCAATAAGAAGTGAGTGGGTGTTATCATTTTCTTACCTTCAATATCCGTGTAACTGCGACAGCAGTGCGTAGTGCAATCACACAACTTCGACGGGGTGATCTAGCTTTGGTATGACCACGACAAAAGTGAGGGTCTCAATTGTCAGCAAAAAAATGAGAGACCATGAGAAGCAGTAAAAACCGTGCATCGGTAAGATTGTGGCTAAGAAAATGACTCACGCGCGTCGTTGCGGTTGCAGTGCATTGAGCTTCTGCCGTTAGGATTGTTACATACCTACCTGCTTATGTATCGACAAAACAAACGAGCAGCAAAGGCAGCGCTGCTTTGGCTGATCAGCGCTGCAGTTGGCTGCTTTTTGAGTGCTTGTCGGGTGCAAATATCACCCAAAATAAGTACACTACAGTGCTGGCCAAAATTATAGGTCCACTCTATAAAATGCCATAACTCACTCCGTTGTGAATGAAATTTTCCAAAATTTGGTACAGACGTGTGTTTACCAGCCTACTATCAGTCTTCGAAACGTTTCTCGTTTTCGTTTGATTATTCAAGAAAAAATTAGAAATTTTGAAAAAAGAAGGCTTGAAGGCTGGCCAAAATTATAGGTCCACCTAGAGTTTTTACTGATTAAAGCACTTTTTAGCTCCCGAATTTTTTTTAGGTAGGCACACATCCAAAAACGTTAAACAGCTGCATTGGTCAAGCTGTGTCATACCTCCAAAAAGAACTGATTATCTGCTTTTTTGCCTTGAAGATGGTGCACTCACATGTATTTCGCTACACAAACCTGCGTTGAGTAAGAAATTCTGCAGTTTCTCAGCTGGATCGGAAGGGACGGGGTTTCATCTACCTTCAGGATGCTTTTTGACGTGAGCATTGAGGAAAAAAACCGACTTTTTGCTGCTGAAGCAAATCTGACATTGACAGTACTGCCATCCTGAACTCAAATTTCTGCCTTCAAACTTCTTTTACAATGTTCTCAGAAGCATTGAGTAAAGTAAAGGCATTGTCTCTATGAATGGGAGTCCGTATACCATAGTTACAACTTTCTAGAGATCCTAGCATTCGAGTATAACTACTGAAATCACTCTGCAGAAACTGATTACGACAAGCACCAAAGTACTTGTGGCTCCGACCAAAATATTCAGAAGAATCATGTGCTAACATACACTACAAGCTGTATCCAGTGTCTAGTAAATAATTACTGTCAAAAATCTAAGTGAGGTAGCACTTGGAAAGCTATTTTGGATCGCGTAACACCATTATTACGTTGCACACACAACTCATGTTTCGAAAAAGAAGCAAGGCAGCTTTGTGGACACTTGCGAGTATGGCGAACAGCTTTACTCTTGTGTAAAAAATGCTTTTACAATATCTTAAGGTTATAGTGACAATGCATAAAGGGATTTAGGGCAGAAACTGAGGCTTACTCTGCCGATTAAGCCGATGTCAGATTTGCTTCAGCAGCAAAAAGTCGGATTTTCTCCTCAATGCTCACGTCAAGAAGCATCCAGAAGATAGATGAAACCCCGTCCCTTCCGATACAGCTGAGAGACTGCAGAATTTCTTACTCAACGCAGGTTCGTGGAGCGAAATACATGTGAGTGCACCATCTTCAAGGCAAAAAAGCAGATAATCAAATCTTTTTGGAGGTATGACACAGCTTGACCAATGCAGCTGTTTAACGTTTTTGGATGTTGCCTACCTAAAAAAAATTCGGGAGCTAAGAAGTGCTTTAATTAGTAAAAACTCCAGGTGGACCTATAATTTTGGCCAGCCTTCAAGCCTGCTTTTTTCAAAATTTCTGATTTTTTCTTGAATAATCAAACGAAAACGAGAACCGTTTTGAAGACTGATAGTAGGCTGGTACACACACGTCTCTACCAAATTTTGGAAAATTTCATTCACAACAGAGTGAGTTATGGCATTTTTTAGAGTGGACCTATAATTTTGGCCAGCACTGTATCGCCCAATTTTAATGCCGAAAAGGAAGAATTGCGAGAAATTTCAATTACAAAATATGCTAAAATCATGCTTAGCCGAACTTCTCATGCTTATGCTATTTTTTTATTCACACACTGCATCTTGTTTGCACACCAGATCCTTTCCGCGTGCCTAGAAATTTCAACTTGTTCTATCGTAGCAGTTTTCGCTATACATTTATTTCAATTTGCTGTTCATTCGCAGTGCTTCTTTTCTTGTTTTTGGGAAAAAAAGGGCCTTTGCGTCGTGGCTTATGGATTAGATCATATTGTATAGGGTAGAATAACGTTTGTTTTACAACACTTTGATATTTATTGTGCAATAGCTCGCATACGCGGCTTCGCCAGGTTTTATCAATACACCATGATAATAATTACCATTTTCTAACTTTGCAACAACGTAACGGCGATTCATAACATACAAAGACTGGGCGCTGTTGCGTCCGACCAACGTAGCTCATGCACTGGAGAGACAGCCTGTGGTAAGAGAAACGAAGGAGTGCTTGACCAGAGAGACGCCGATGGTCCGCAGTCTTTGCGTGCGATGAATTGCCTATGCCATCCCTAATCCACTCTTATATGCTACTTTTCTTCCACCATGTTTTCTCAGTCAGCGGCTCATTTATGCCAGTGTACCAACCAGCCCCTTAGGCCAAACTCTGCCAAAGCTGATAGAGATAAATGCAATGATTATTCTTCATTATAAATGTTGCTTTCATTATCACTATGTAAACCTCTCTACCAACTCCCAGGTCCGTAGCTCGAGCTTCGCGAAAAAAATGATGAAGTGATAAAGTAATGGGTATTCTCAAAACCACACCATAGTAATCAACATGTCCATTCAACCTTTGTATCAGCTTTCCGTCCAATAGCTCTAAGTTTGTAAGAAAACGACAGAATCAGTCAAATTAAGAGTCTCATCACAAACAGTTAACATATTCGTCATCAGCTTGCCCATTTATCTCCCTGAGTCAAATATTATTCCTCTAGCTCTACGAAGGCCAATAATTCTAAAAAGCGATGTTAGTATGTGATATGCCAAGCGAAATTGGTAGATGTTTATTGTTAGTGACGGCCTGACGTTTCGACTCGTATCAGGTACTCCATATTGGTGGCACCCAAAGACGACCACATTTAGCATCCATCTACGGCAGCGGCGAAGGAGGCTTTCGAAGAAGACGAACTAGTCGAAACGTCAGGCTGCCACTAACGGCAAACATTTACTAATTCGCGGTGGCCTACTCGCATACTAACTACTACTAACAACGCTAAGGTTGACGAAGAAAGCTTGGAAGTTACTTACCAAAACGTAATAGTTTACTCGTAATCAACATGCTCATTCACCCTTGTGCCGAGCCCTAACGCTATGGTTTATAGTTTGCAGGAAAATCAGTTACAAAGAAGTAGTCTATGAAACCCGCCCGGAAACGAAGTGTATGCGTGCGAAGTTTTGTCCGAATCGATTCAGAAATAACATTTTAAATTTGGAGCATACGAACACATACGTACAGACAGACAGGCATTCAGTGTAAAAGATCAAAGTCGTTTGTTCGACACGCCCATTTATTCTCACTACTGAAAAATGTTGTGACTCAAGTTCATCCCATGAATGCAATTAACGAGTAACCTGCAGCTCAGACATTCAAAGTCTATGGTGAGGCGGGTTAAATAGCAATTTTAGTGAGCGGGCGACGATACTGCGAAATTTGCAGTGAGCGGGCGGCGATGCTGCAAAAATGGCGGTGAGCGGGCAGCGACAGGCTATCAGCGGGCATCCATAATCTTGCACGAGTCAAAAAAAAACTGCTGAGCGTGCACGACGACGCAGCGACTCTGTCAAGCTGGCAGCGAACAGGAAATAATGGGGAGGCGAATGCAAGATTTCGTGAGCGAGCCGCATAAATGCTATAAGACGTTAGCATTAATTTATAACGCTGTATTGTGGTTGCTAAGCAATACTATTCGGGCATACTCTCTTTGCTTGTCCTTCTAGGCTGCAGTTGCTCTGTTTTATTTTGTACTGTCTATCTCATCAATCCAAAGCATTACAAGCGGATTTTGCAACAACCACCAGCAAGTTCTAAATTCTTTATCTATAATACTTCATTTTCTTGGTTAAAGCAAGCGCCCACCTTTAAAAATTTCTACTGTTTTTTCCTCTTGTCGAGTAGTGTTGCATTGTAGTACATTTCTTACAGTTTGTTATTCTAGCTCACAGGGCTTGGGAGGAGGGTACTTTCCGCGGAAAATCTTCTTCGTGTGCTCGCATGTATTCAATTGCAATATCTTATCGTTTTCAATTGTTGATAACGTATTTTCAGACAGTCTGGTACATGTGGCGCTTAGGAGGAAATTCAAATACGAAGACGCAGGTGCAAAGAAAGCTAGAAGTGTAAGTTCGCAAATGACCGCTCTAGTTGATTATAGTAACGATAAAGTTTAAAGGTGTTTTATGCGATGCTGGATGAGATCTACGCGTGATCGCGTGCGCGATAGAAGGCCAGAGGAACGAATTTGTAGTCAGCAAAAGGGGCGAAATGCTCACTTGCTCAAGACAGGCGCAGGATTTTGGGGAAGTCCGGGTAGCAGGTTATGTCATGATATAAGATATCTGGGTAAAAGATTATAATAGTCTAATCAAAGCTATACATTACAGCAATGTTCGGTCACTCTCAATGCTCTCAACTTCCACCATATAGCATTTTTTATGTAATTCAATGCGACTTACATGCATACGCAATTACGCAATCATATTAGGTCGTTCCGAAAGTAATGTCGCTTTTTTTAAATCAACGGCACATCTCGTGGAACAAAGACGAGTAAGGGGTTCTGGTAGCATTTGATGCAACATTTTATACCTTGCTAATGTTTATATAATCACTGCACAAAATCTAATAACCTTTCGAAAAATTATCAAAATCTGCGACTCATGCTTTTTGAGAATTCCAAGTTTCACAGTTTTTCTAAATTTTCATAACAACTCTCGGAAAGAGTCCAAGTAATGGATGGATAGAGCAAACCCTTCAGAAAACAGCACAACTTTTTTCTACTTTCCAGAGCACGTCATAATTTTTGTCTAGATTTTTTGATGGAACCACCGAATTTCATCAGACTCGTCTCAGACACAAATACATCAAACACCAATAAATCTTCGGATTTTGAAACTTACACAGATGGATTATGGTTTGGCAATAATTTTACAAACCAAATGAGTATTCAACGCTTCAGATTGGCAACTTTCGAAAACCCCGGGTACAGCGTGGGGCGCCCTGGAAAACTTGAATTATGGTGGTTTTATCCCGAAAAACTTGATGAGGAAACAAAAAACAACCATTAGAAAGAGAAGAAAAAAGCTGCGTCGAATGACACCCGAGTTGCTTGCCGGTTGTTGCTCCATGAGGTTTGAGTTGACTAAATATGGATTTCAATGGCATTGAAAAATTATTTCCAGATACTCTAAGAAGCAAGCTAAGGAAAAGAAAAAATTATTCTATGTCCTAAAATTTGCCCTATCTACCTATCACTTGTACTTCTTCGGAGATTAGGCACAAAAATTTAGAAAAGTAGCCGAACTTGAGCATGGCAAAAAGCAAGGGTCGCAGATTATGGTAATTTTTCGAGAGCTCATTAGATATCATGCAACGGGTTTGTAACCATTAGAAAGAGGATAAAATGCTGCATCGAATGCTCTCAAAATCTCACAAAAATCTTGATTCCATGAATTGTGGCGTTTATTTGAAAAAAGCGACATTACTTTCGGAAAGACCTGATATTTCACTTATAACATAAGTCTGTCTACCTCGATCAACGTTGAACACATAGCTACCTTCCGCATAGAAGTAATCTTAATACATTGTGCATGATCGCTTTTCACACAAATCTTTTCAGTAAACAGTTTGAAGAGCGCTTTTTGGTGAGATTTATTGCTGTTAAGAAACAGCTTCGTTACAAAGACTTCACACGAAAATCGCATAAAAAAGCCTTCTGTTTGTACCGTATACCATACTTTTTGAAAAGCAACTAAATGCATTTCTTGGCATCTTTACCTTGCAAAAAGCGTGAACATATCAACGGTCGGGTTGGCAAATTTTCTGTTAGTGATTTAATTTGTGCTATGTCACCGCGATCAAGCAAAACCTACGAACGCACCCAGAAAAAGGGAGCCAGTTTTGATATTTCTCAAAAACTGGCGAAGCTAAAAAGGCGAAAATTTACAATGATACGTACAAGGGAGGCATGCAAGTGGTACCCGGGCAGCCGACTGCTGCCGCAGCCAGCCGCCAGAGCTGCCGGCAAAGCTGCGCAAATGGTACAGTAAATACGCTCGTTGTCTAAAACTTTCACCAAGAGGTTTCCCCGCACCTCGTCGCACTAAGGTGCGAAACCAGCCTCAGGAAAGCGTGATATCCTCTATATCTATGTCATTTTGAACAGAAAAAATTTCACGTTTTTTGAGAATTATGCAGATAAACAAAGGTGAAGAGGAAGGTTTTTCTGGAGGAAAATGATCACAAAATCAAATCACTTCAAACCCAAAGGAAACAGAAGCTGAAAAAATTCGAAATTCTCAATTTCTAAAGATTTTTTCCTCTCTTTTACGTCGAAAAATGGACGAGAACAATTAGAGGAAAATGTCATGGATATAACGTTAAGAAAACTGTGGCAAATGATTATTTCATACATAGTGGTGTAAAGCGAGATAAGGCAATGCAGGTCAATCAAACTGAGCGGGTTAATGAATGATAGCGTAATATCCTCATTATCTATATCATGAACAGCAGAGAAAAGCCATATTTCATTGAGAACCATACAGTCGACTACAAAACTACACCGAAAAATTTCTAAAAAATCACAGACATTTACAAAAATAACGAATAGGAAATCGAACAGTTTTTTTCTGCTACAAATATGAGATCAAAGTACAATAAATATTCATTGACACTGTAGTTCTAGGGATCCTTTGTCCAATGAAAATTTCTTAAAAATCGAATTCCTTTCAAATGAACACTTCAGAATCCGAAATGCCATTTTGTTGAAGGATTAAGAGAGGTGGTTTGTTTAATTTTGAACTTTTATTATTTGTAAAAAGTTGTGAATTTCAATTTTTTCTTTATTTTTTTTATTTTCTCAAAATCAGCAAATGTGGCATATTTTTATCTTTCATTATTGACTTTTATTTTAAACAATTTGATTGACCTACTTTGCTTTATTTAGCTCGCTTAACACCACTATATTTTTCTTACCGTTATATCCATGACATTTTCCTGTAATTGTTCTCGTCCGTTTTGTAAAATGAGGTGAAAACTTTAGAAATTTGAAAAGTTTCTGAACTTTTAGCTTCTGTTAGCTTTGAGATTTGAACTGATTTAAATTTGCGATCATTTTCCTCTGAAAATCTTTCCTCTGTTTACCTTTATTTATTTGCATGTTCTGCTGTTTAAAATAATATAGTCTAAACGCAATAAAAACTGCTGTAACCATCAAGTTAGTGACTATAAAATAGATACTTTGCGTGACTGTATCTATCACAAAAAAGATTTTCTGGCCTGATGTTTACCAACAACCTTTTTCAAAAGCCTCTACCTTGAGAGAGCATAACTTATGTTCAAATGAAGTAGGATAAAACAGATTTCGATCATCGTGTAGGCAAAGGTCTCTTGAGCAGTAAAACCAAGCTTGAATTCTACTGAAAACTGAAACTCACTTTTTTCTGGCATCTCGTCGGGTTCAAATAATGGTCATTTTTGGAATTAATTCGTTTATCTCCACTGGAAAGTGGGAAAATTTTAGCGCTTTTCTACCATCGAATGAACTAGGTTTACTCTTGCTGAATAGTGCAAAAGACCTGCAATCGCCTTTTGCTTCAAAGTTTCATTTGACACGGAAGGGCCGCGACGAGCATTAAAGTTTGCAATCGAATTTCTCGGCTCAGAATCGTATTTTGTTCAAAAAACATCTTGTAGCACAAATTTTCATAATCCTTATGCATACTTTTTATAAGTAATCCGCCTATTCCTCATGGATTTAGGTCGAAAAGAGTGAAAAGCAAAAATTTTAAGATTTAGTCTCTTTTATTTAGTTCAGAACTTTGGAATGAACGAGGATTTACGAAAGCGAAGGACCAAATAAGAAACTAGAAAAAACGCTCTTTCAGGCAGCATAAAAAGTTTTTAAGGAAATTGATTACATAACAAATACCAGCTCTTGAAAGAAGAGGTGAGAAAAACGTGCATTAATTATGAATAAACCTAATAGATATCGAGGATATCACGCTTTCCTTAGCCTGATATCGCACTCCAGAGCGACGAGGTGCGAGAAAACCCTTCGGCAAGAAATTTAGCCGACGAGCGTAACTACTGTATTATCTGCAGCGGCTTTGCCGGCAACTCTGGCGGCTGGCTGCGGTAGCAGTCGGCTGCCTGGGTACCATTTACTACGCACCTTTTACAAAAGCCTGTAGTATAGAATGACTTGGATCAAACGGCCCATCACTGTTCAAAACGAGAGTACGATAAACGAAAACGAGAGAATTTCTGAGTTTTTAGTCGAGAGAATATACAGCAACAGTATATATGAATGTCTTATGTGAATAGAACAGATTTGTGCGATTGGGAGTTGCGTAAGACGCTTTATGGCGAAGAAAGTTTTTTCTATTTTTTGTTGACATTTGGAGACCTTTGGACTAATTTTTAACTTCAGGTGGAACAAACTCGGCCTCGAAACATCACTACCCGTTTGTAGAGCTTGTTTAGCTCAATCAAACAGTGCCCCACATGCGTTTTTGGAGCTCGCTTGGTTGTTGTGCCATTGCAAGCGAATAAAATGCAGCATTGTTTTCTTGACAACCTAATAATTTCTAACAAAACATCAAAAATACTCTTCAAGCTCTTTCAAGTTGTAGTCAGCTTGAGAAAAGCAAGTACGAAAGAATGACGCTTACATAGCTTCTACTAAACACTAACACTACAGTCTAATGCATTTCTATGCTACCTCCTAAATTTATGTAATCTGATCCACGATTCCATATACATCACCGCACTGATTCTTTGTTGTAGGTTGCCCGGAAATTAATGTCCGTTTTGAATTTCAACCGCAATAACTCATACATTCTTCATTCCTGAATAGGCTTCAAGATACCATTCGATAGAGCAAAGCAAGCTCTACAAATTGGGGTTTTGCTTTAGCGACAGCTTTGTTCCACCTCCAGTTTCGAGCCAAAAACTAGAAAGATTCAAATGCCCGAAAAATCGAGAAAAATCATAACTCAGTTCAAAAGGATCCTACAAAAATTCTAATTTGCTCACGTAACCACTATCCATAAGACGTATATGCATGCCGTTGCCGTATTTTTTCCTCTGTTAGAAATCAAAAAATCGAAAATTTCCGTGCTTTTGCCAAAGTGATGCTGTGTCGTCCTTACATAAGTAGATGTATACTACAACCCTGTAGAAGTGCAAATGTAAATTTCCAGCTCTCTACAAGCTTTGGTTCTCGAGAATTTTGAATTTTAGCTTGGACTGCCTCACTAATGAAAGCTATATTCGATATTTCTCGAGCTAAAGCTTGTAGAGAGCTGGAAATTTACGTTTGCACTTCTACAGGTTTGTAGTATACATCTACTTATGTGGGAACGACACAGCATCACTTTGGCACATGGGGACTTTCGTTTTCTTGATTTCTAACAGAGGAAAAAATACGGCAACGCGTACATATATGTCTAATGTGAATAGCGGTTACGTGAGCAAGTTAGAATTTTTGTAGGATCCTTTTGAACTGAGTTTTGATTTTTCTCGATTTTTCGGGCATTTGAATCTTTCTAGTTTTTGGCTCGAAACTGGAGATGGAACAAAGCTGTCGCTAAAGCAAAAACGCCAATTTGTAGAGCTTGCTTTGCTCTATCGAAAGATTTCTTGAAGCCTATTTAGAAATGAGAGATGTACGAATTATTGCGGTTGAAAACGAAAACGGACATTAATTTCCGGACAACCTAATATTATCTATTTCAACGCATGTCCAGTGCCTTTCACTGATTCTCTGTTATAGCATCATCTCATTGCACATTAAATGCCTCTAATATAATTAAAACTTTGCTGGTGCTCATATATCCTTAGTGATAACTGCATTAATGCCTTTTGATCTAACGCATACGATGCTCATGGATAAATCATGCATATGTATATGTTGCCATTCACATACTTATCTTAATGTAGATTTGATATACACTTGTGATCGAAATTTGCCATAGCATTTCTTTCGTCCGCCCCATATCTATACCTCCAAGTGCCGTAACTTCTATTCCACTGTTAATTGTTATCGTTATAGTGAATAAGTACGACAATTATAGCGTTGTAGTGTTAGCATAAAATAAAACTCAAACGATGGAGGTTTTCAGCCGGCGGCAACAAAGCCACCGCCAAACCCCGCCAAAAGCTCCGTGTCTTGTAGCGCCACTTTCTCGTCGCGCTGGAGTCCTTTTAGCAATCCACTTGTTTTCCTCTATTACCTGAATAGCTTTTCGTTATGCTGAATGTTGCATGCATCAATATCCCTGCTGGAAAACAGAAAGCATTTTGAAAGAAAAATCTTATATTCTAAAGCTCCAGCGTTCTGAGTTTCATGCCGTATAATAATCCGCAAGTATTTTTTACTACGCTTCACTATTAACATATTGAACAGGAGCGAGAAGTTGCACAAGCCGCATTCCTCCCTTATCATGATCACTCAATGATTGCCAGCGGATAAACATCTTCCTTCAAAATTATTTATTTTTTTCAAAGTCAAAGAAAACATTCGAAATGTACTGATCACCTAATCCAAAGGTGCTAAGCATGTTTTTGATAAAAAGAATGAGTTATTGAAGTACCGATGCGTCACCTCTGCTTCGCAGAGGCTCGGGCTTATCTAGGCCCTATACTCATTCTCGCATAATGATGGCATTGGAACATGCTGATTATCACAAACAAAATATAAACAACTACTCATTCCTAAAGCAATTTTATGTTATTATAAATCGGTGACTTCGCGTGGATGAGACTTTTTGCACGAAAACAAACGCAAATTTTTATAGGTTTTTGATTTTCCCATGGTCTTGACATTGCAATAAGAACAGCAGTCATTGTGAGCTACATCTTTGTGCAAAAATCTCGTCAAATGCTCTGGTACAACCTTGGCAAATTGACCATTTACGAAACCAATACTTTTTTCGCCGTTTTTGTAAAGTAATGGACTTTTGATCACTTTCTTGCGCCTAAGTTCATGGCTTGCACATCTACTTGGCACATCCACGACTCTGCAAAAAGTGGAATTACGGACCCAATTTTGCAGTTCAAATGCAAAGCGGTTCCATTTGAGGCGCAGTTTCTGAGGAATCTACTCAACGTGTTCTGCTCGTGTTTTTGCATGTTGGACTTTCGAGCGGGTAGGTGGTTGGAACATGCTCTACGAATTTCGTAACAGACACACACACACAACACACACACATATATATATATATATATATATATATATATATATACAGACAAACAGACAGACGGTCTAAGCGCTTTATATGCCCTTGAATATGATACAATTATCTTATATTACATGCGCATTTATTGCTTGTCTAATAAACCTCATAATTCCCGTCCGCACGTTCCACAGATAAGAAAGGCAGATTTGGAATTAGCGTTTTATGCTCTTCCATATGGTATACATCCAATCTAAAAAAGCGACTTCGACTAAACATGAACTTGTTAGTGTAACAAGGTTCAGACAAAAATCGACTGAGAGCCTGAGCAAGGAATTTTGTAAACGCTATCAAATTCGATCAAGTGCTCGGTTAATAGGGCAGTTATTTGACATCGGAACTTACGGCGTTTACGAAATACGCTCGAGACCCGCTTTGAGATGATGGTATACGAAAGAACGCAACGTTTTTGTATTTTACAGGCACAAGCAAAGAGAGTAATGCCAAGTTAAGAGGAGCTTGGAACATATTAGATTGCAGAATTGCTATTGAAGATGAGGCAACGTTAAACGTAAAAAATATATAAAAACCGCACATACGTTATAGAGAGAGGAATGATACTTAATTCCAATCCACCGTTTCGTTCGTATTTTGCCTGCACATCTAGCCAACGCGCATCAACAGGGTTTCGCAAAAGCAACGATGACTACTCTAGCGGACAACGACAGGGGATAAAGCTGTCAGCCATATTATAGCGTTACAATCAAGCTGCCGGCTCATAGCATTGAGCAACCCGCTCGAAAAAACCTTGCTAATCTCTCCATTGTTTTTCGGTTTCTGCCAGATGCTTGACGGAATCGCTGCATCGTCGTCGCCTTCTGGCTGCCTTTACAGCAATGAACGCGCTCTGCAGTTATTTTCCGAATCATGGAAGATTACGGTTGCCCGCTGATAGCCCGTCGCTAGTCGCTCACTGCCATTTTTGCAGCATCGTCGTCCGCTCACTGGAACTGCTATTTATCGCCACCTCACCATGACCTTTGATTGTCTGACGCATCATGTGTTACGAGCTAGTTTTGAGGCAAACTTGTGAATACCTCGCCATAATCTCGCGAGATAATCGACCTGTCACAGCATTGTCTCTTTGTGACGACGGGAGATTTACGACGGGCCCTTATTCACTCTTACATGAGCTAATTCAACTATAGTCCAGATTTCCGTAGGTGCTTTGACGGCTTCGCTATGGTTCAGATGTAAATGTAAGTCATTTCGCAATCAAAGAGCATAACGATGCGTTAGAAAGTGTTCAGGAAGTACTGTTGGTTGCGGAAGTGTTAGCAAACATTGACTCACAATCGAGATTCCTCTTTTGGCAGGACTAAGCTCTTGAAAGTTTTGAAAGTATGCAGCGAAACCTTCATTGAGCCAAAGTTCTTCCCACCAGCTCAGCGTTACCAAATTACCAAACCACTGAAAACCAGGTTTTACCCTAAAAACGCATCTGAAATTTGGCATCAATATGCTCTTTGAAAAACAGCCTTCTTAGTTACCATGTCCCCATAAATTACTCAACAAATGGAGTTTGAAATTGCAACCGTGATATCGTATGAAAAGCAGCGATAGATGAGAAAGTAGCATAACCGCCCCGCTTTGTGCTTCCAGGAAATGTATTTATTTGGGTTCGAGTCTAAAGTACTCAATAAAAGGTGGTGAAAAAGATTTAAAGCCTCGTAACTTCTGTAATTTTGCATGCATACAGTACCACCATGTAGGCTCACCATGCACAAGGACGAACCGTTTCAATAAGCGGATCCTTTAAAATTTGCGCCTCAAACGGGTCCACCTAGCTTTTGGCGCGCAAAACTAGGTCACAAATTCAAAATTCTGTAGTCCTGATTTACCTGACAAGCATATCCGCGCTTCAAAACTCAAAAGGTGCTCAAAAAGTTTGCTTTTCTGTAGAAACAGCGCCAAAAAGTAGTAATCGCGTAGAGAGTCGATTTGGCAAGGCTGATTTTTGCACGGAAATGTAGCCCAAAATGACTTTTATCTTTATAACAATTATCGCCAAAATAAATTCAACAATTTTTTCAAATTCGCATTTATTCTTAGGCAAAAAAGTTTTCTTTCTCCAAATTACCTATTTTACATGGAGTGCTTCAAGAATGAACAGTTGTTTACACTTCATTTATGATGTACAGCCTCGCGCGGTGAGTTTCAAAGTCATCACTGTGGAATCGTGAATAAGGCATACGGAGACTCGCACTGACCCTACTCTATATGCCTTACTTATTCTCGCCTAAGGAT